TCTGAATTCATAGTCTTACAGTTGTGACTTTTATGTCTAGAGTTTTTTCTATTTGGGCTCACTTTTCTGACATTTGTGCCTTTTCTGGAGGGAGTAAGAATTCTGATGAGTCAGAGGAGGGATTTCTGTATACACACTTTTAGTGAATAATACTATGAAACAACTGCATCCTCTTTATCTGTTGAGGTGCTACATCATAAGAAATTCTAGTAGGGATTGAAGGGATCTCTGAATTTTTGCTGATACTTTATGCAATCCACAGAGTATTATTTTAATAGGATACAAAATTTCATTAAGGCTACAGTGGCAGACACATATCTGTGATTTGAGACTGAGAATCCCGCGGTGAGGGGGCTAACCTACAGCCAGACTATCCAGCACATACCCTCTGCTGGCCTGCAGGAGGGTGCAAGGCCCTTCTCAGTCGACACGGAACCCGTACTACGGTGACCATAGAGCTCCCTCTTGTGGGAACGAGCGGCCAGCCGGCTTACTCTTAAAGCTCTCCAGCTGTCACTTGTGAACTGTTCCTTCAGCATGACCCCACTCGAGAGAATCAGCAGCTTTGTAAAAAGAAAAAAACCGCAAAACGGTAGGACATAAGCAGAGCCTTTTTAAAGAGAAATAAACCATGATTTCCAATTAATCTGTGGCTGAAACTAAGAAGCCATGTTTTTGTAGCACAAAGCAGCACTTTGTGGTACAGTTTGACAAGGCTGGTAAGTCTTGAGAAGTCCCATCCAGTCTAAATCACTCTGTGAACCCAGAAAAGTGAGAACTCTCCTTCTTAGAATTCAGAGAATGGCATTTTCTTGCTGCGAGAACAACCTTCTGGCCGAAAGTACAAAAAACTGCTCAACCATCTCCACTACCAAATGTAGATTCTGCAACAACTTCAACTTGCCAAACACTTCTTTTTATCTCACGTGCTCAGAGGCTGTAGTACAGAGAGGATTTTATAGCATTCACTCACCAGTGCGTTATATTGTACTCTCTAGAACGACCTATTGATGAAAACCTGGAAAGACACAGATGGGGACAGATTTGTTCATGAAGAATGGACTCTGGTCGTACCACAACGAGACAAGCCTGAGCTGGGAACCAATGGGATACAGAAAGATCTGAATCACATGACCTAAAGGAATATAAATAACAATATCCGAAGTGTCAAATAATCACTCAAAAGGCAGAAACAACGTAATTAAAAATTAAGAGGAAAAGGCTTTTATAGTAAGAAATTAACTTTGCCTGTCAGGTGACTGTTTCTTAGACAGCTTTTGATCCATTACTAGTTGTTTCGCTCAAACAGTTATGCATACTTGTTTAAACAAGAACCCATTAACACATTAGCTTCCACTTATAAGAAAAGAAACAGCACAACATTAGTACTTCTTTGGGGAAATCGATTATTACAATTGCTCTTTAACTTTGCTTCAGACTGCCTCCAAATTTCACTTCTCCAATTTCTCAGCTGCAAATTCCACACAGAAGCTGGCACTGCAACTGTTGCCACGATCGCTGGGAGGACTTCCACTGGTATAAAAATGGTGGTTTAGCCTACCTGTGTTTAGAGTTAATACAGTTGTTCCAACACGGTTTTCCACAATATCGAGGCTTTTTCAAAGCCAATTAAGTTGCTGATAACATGCAGATAAGATTGCTGATAACTGGATTAACTTGCACAGATAAAACATAGAGTAGATATAAATTTGCAAGTTCTTGTATGTTTCTGTTTATTTTTCCACCTTAGTTAGTTTCCTTTGTGATTTCCTAAGCAATTCATCATTTGCAACATGATCCAAGATTCATTTTAGATAATCAATGATTAATACCAAGTTCTTTGCAGGGGAAGTCTCAGTAGGGCTAAAAAATGTCTCCCCAAAACCAATCAACCAAAAAAACACCAAACCAAAACGAAACCTCACCAACCAAAAAAAAACCCAGTCCCAAAGCATCCATCATGGAATAGACAGACTCAGATAACTGTCAAGTGAGAGCTAATGACTGGCATTGCGTTTGTACGTGAAGGTTTTGGAGCTCCAGAAGACACAAACCAGCAATGACATGAAGCAATGTATTGAATCACTACAAAAAACTGTCCCAGTTGATTTTCCAGACAACGTGATTGCGTTGTTGAAGAGGTTGCATCTCTGTGATTTTGTACAGTAACTGAGCTCAGCAACAAAAGAAACACTTAGGAGATATATTGGGGGGGAGGGGGAATGGAATATTGATCTTTTCTTAGACCAAGTCATTTTGCAGCTGCAAACACTACCGTGGCTGCACTGACGCCTAGCATCTAGCCTAGACAACAACATTTGCTGCAGTAGAGTGAACCATCTTTTCTACTCTCATTCAAACTCAGTGAACATGAAGACTATGGCTATGCTGCCCACTCAGTGCAGTGTGGGGTACAAGTGTATATTCATCATCCTTGTGAAACAGATTTGGGAGATGAACAAATACATAGAAAATCATAAGGTCAAAATATTACACATTTGGATAAATAACTCCGTATACCCACACATTCTCATTTTCTCCACCAAATGTTGCATTTGCATCTTTGCCAACAGAATCAGCACAATTGCCAAAGTGAAGATTGTCCGATAAAGAAAGACACGGAGTTCCTAGATCTCCATTCATCATGTTCTATGAAGCTGCTCTAACTCACGTCATAAGAATATCAAAGTAATAAAAAGGATGTTTAAATCATCTTTTCTCCACCTTTTCCTATTTCTTATCAAACAATTCGGGAGGAAAAAACTGCAGAGGATCTAGGATATTTCAGTTTGATGCACAGATTTATTAACAAATGCCTTTATTTTCTCAGCAGCTCAAATCTGAAAGGTCCTGATATAATCAGTTTTCCAGATACTGTTGTTTCTGTAATGATTGAATATCTTAAGAAACTGTAACTTGTAACTGTCCATAGGTTTTCTTCTTTCATTCCACTTAAGAGAGCTGCAGTATGAAATTCAGAGCATTATAGAAGACGGACCACTTTTTTTTTTTACGCCAGCATAGCATGTAACGCTGGATTTGAATCTTACAAGTATGGAGTTAAGCTGCTGGTAGATTTCTAGAGAATCAGTCTTTCTGTTGTCCCACTTTGATTCCTTTGTTAATGCTTTCATTTGAATGCTTATAGTAATTTTGAAGGGCCATAAATTTGTATGGTTTAGTGCAGTCAAAAGATTTACAGCATCTCATTTATCTTCAGAGAAATATCACTAGCTAGACAGTCAGAACTGAATATTAAAATTCAGTGAAATACTGGAAAAATTAGAGTGAAGTAAAATGAGTCTATTTCCCTTTCACTTCTTTTGTATTTTTGCAGTTTAAAACTAATTATCATAATCAATCATACTAATACAATTTCACAAATACTGACCAAATATTTGTTACAGTAATTTCTGGCAACATTATTTCTCATTCAAATTTCTGTCAACGTCATTTGTCAGCAGG